ATTCTTCTTCTTCTTCTTCTTCTTCTTCTTCTTCTTCTTCTGTCTTCACTGTCACCATAAATCTGGATCATACAATAGCCTGGTCGGTCACTATAGAATCTATCATACTGGGGTCGGCGACCCTGCGCCAGGCAACCCGACAATCATTCGACAATCATCCACCATTCTTGTCTTACTTATCCACACTGTCCCAGGGCATTCAGCTATCTTATGGGTTCATTCTGTTAAATGCGTTTCCATGACAATTTTCGGTGAAATCTACAATCCAGACACCATCACCACACCACACTCCACCTCACAACATACCTCTCTAGGCTAAATATGAACCTGTCTCACAACGCGCACATATCGGCCACCCACGTAGTATCATTCCCCTCTTCGGAAGAAGTCATATCATCGACCTTGCCATCGTCGGTATGGCGGGTGAAATTTCATATGCCAGGACCAGATCGTGTGGCACGCATAAGTGGGCTTTTTGTGTTCTTCAGTCACTCCGCTCTGTTCCAGTATCTGTAGGCAATTAGTGTTAAACAATCAATTGTTGCATGACAAAGGTAAGATACAGTGATACCAAAACTGGCGAATCCCTCCTCGGCTATAATAAAACCAGCACTTAACTCCATCCTTATGGGAGTATTTTGGGTTAATTGAAAGCTTGAGATTTAGGCTGTAATGAGAAACATGTAAGTCACATGGACTGAAATAAAATTACCTGTAGCTTCTCCTATAGATTTGTAACTTCGATACAGCACCGGAAAACCTTCCGTTTTCGCATTTTTTCTCATTGGCCTTGATGTCCTTCTCTCTTCCTTATGAGACTAGACCTGAGCCGCACGGAGTTATAGACTTTGAAGTCGAGGACAAGGTCATTTGCTTAAATCGCCCATCTGCTGTATAATACCTACTGCGCGGCCCCATTACCAATGGCAGTCTTTTCCTCTCATTATCTATCTCCCTTCCCCCCTCTAATCCCTCATGCAGTGTCCCAAGCCAAAGCAAACTAAGGGCTAAGTCATGTTTTTATTCGTTTTAGGTCTTCCCACTATGTTCCACATCTTCGCATATGCGGTCTCACCCGAGGAGCGCGGCCGGGCTTTCAGCTACCTTATCGCAATGGGATCTGTCGGTCAGACAGTAGCTGGCCTCATCTGTCCTCATCTCTACTGGCCGTTAGTCTTCTTCATATTTGGCGGAACCGGTCTCCTATGGGTCGTCTGCTGGGTCCTCTTCACAAAGTCTGTTGGAGAATGCGAACTTGACGCTCAGGAGTACTTGGCACCACCTCCTAACGTTAGCAGCTCTTGTGCATGATACAAAAAAATTAAACTTTTTGCACCTTCATAAATAATATAACTAGCTCTGTTTTTCTATGTGATTATCATCCTCTTATTTTCGCCCCACAGGTCTCTGGTCAGTCGATTCCCTGGCGGGAATGCTTCACCAGGCGCCCTCTTTGGGCAATCTATTGTGCCCACTTTAGTATGAACTGGTCCAACTACATCATAATGCAATGGTTACCAACTTATCTGGTCCGTTTTCTGGGCGGCGGACCGATGGAAATTATGCTAACTGCCCTGCCCTATGTTGCCAACTCCCTTTGCGGCATTGGTGAGTGATGCATTTTTTTCAGAGGCAGTGCATTTGATCTACTGAGGTGTTTCGATAAGCACGTCTGCCATTCCGACCCTGAGGGCTTACTCTGTGGCTGTGTCTCTTACTTAATAAATGGCGACCCCAAATATACCTATGTCGTCTTGATATTCTGAAGGAAATCATGATTATTTAACGTCAGCTAGCCTAGTTGATGTTACCATCAATAGGATTATTGGATAATGTGAACCGCGGAACTCAACGCCTTAAATGATTTTAGCGCAGATCTCTACAATGTGTAGTTGCTATTCAGTGCGCTGGTGCTGAAAAATATAACGAGGCCAGCGACTTGTCAAATTTCCTTTCTGTCATCTCTTTTCGTGTGACTGGCTGCGTTGCTGATGGAGGCCTAGCACGTTCTGAACCAAAATTTGTCTGAGGAACGAGAAGGCATGGCGAAGCCGCGTGGTACTGCGCTTCAGCAGCAACGAATCGCCTATCGGACTTACTGTTTTACTTGTTACGGCTGCGATCATGGCTGATCTAGCCGGCATTAATGATGACCCGTACGGTGCTTCTCCATGCGCGACGATCCGTGGCCGCAAAGCTGGACAGTTCAAACCATTCCCTTCGCCAGCGCCGGAGACCGTATACCGAAGGATGGGCTACGACACACACACACCGTATACCGAAGGTCCAAGAATCACTTTCATGTCCT